GGATACACAATATGCTTGATGAGATGTCCTACCGAGACTGTTAGAGGATGAAAAGCAAGTCTTCCAAAATGTAATATTCAGGATACTATCTGACCCGCACTCTTTTGCTTAGAAGGGCTTCACAGCTGTTAGACTAGTTTGGAGAGCTGCAGGAATCTCTTTAAATGCTATCTCCAATTTTTCATTGTTGTACAATTGCTCCCTACCATAACACATGTTTTTTTGGCAAATCATACTGGCAATTTTCTTTGTACCTTAAGGATACAACTACCTTTTTTTTATGTGCACATATTGAAATATGGAAAAGAAAATATCTGAGGCAGAGAATGCAGAATTGATGAGTTTGATGAAATGTGAAAAACTGCAGAAGACAAACATCTCTTCTGAAATTGGCCTTAACTAATTAGCAAGCTGGGTTAATTCAAAAGTATTCAATTCAGACATATCTCTTTAAATGTGATAGAGAATTCTGTTTTAAATAGCTCTTTTCAAGCACTGTAGTTTTTATATTTTTGTTTGGTTTTGGTTTCAGTTCTTTCCTGTGCAAAGCAAGGTATTCCCAGCCAAAAAGTTTGAGCTAATGCTCAGAGTGTGGAGTTTCCTTCTTCCCTCCTGAATCCACCTGCTCAGGATCGTAAGCCCCACTTCAGGTGGGATGGTATTTCGAGCAGCAACTAGGGCAAGAGAGACATCACAGCCGCCACGCTGAGCTGGTTTTCATCCTCTCATTTGGCTCACACCCGAGTTCTTTGGGAAGCCTAAACTACGACTTTGTTTAAATTGAAGTATAATTGACACACAGTAAAATTCATCTTTTAAATGTACAGTTCTGTGCATTTTGAGACATTTCCACAGTAATGTAACCATCTCTGCAAACAAGGTAGAGAATATTTTCCCCTTCAAAAGATCTTTCATGCCCTTTTGTTGTCAGTCTCCAACTCTTATCCCAGCCCCTGATACCAGGCAACCAGAGAGCTGATTTCTACGTCTGTCTTTTCCAGAATGTCATCTAAATGAAATCATATGGTTTATAGCTTTCTGAATTTGATTTCTTTCACTTACCAAAACACCTTTAAGTTCAGCAATGGTATGGGCACATTAGTATTTCATTCATTCTCATTGCTGAATAGTAGTCCTTTGTGATTACATGAATGTATCACAATTTATCCATTCAGTATTTGGTTGATTTGGTGATTTCTAGTTTGGGATAATTATAAATGAAGTTGCTATAGACATTCATGCACATGGGTTTTTGTGTGGACCTGCCAAAATCTTTCCCTAAGTGCCTGCACCATTTTGCATTCCCAGTAGAAGTGACAGCATCCCAGTTGCTCAACGCCCTCACCAGCATTTTATGTTATCATTTTGTTGTTTTTTAATTATTTTTTTATTTTAACATTTATCATTTTTACATTTTTAGACAATATTTGCTTCCCCCCACCCCCTCAGATTCAGTCCCCATAGAATTTCCTTCCCCAAGGTACCCATGCACCATCATCACAGTCCCCTGTTCTCCTCCCTCCCTCCCTCTGATCCCTCTCCCTCCTCCTCCCCTGAAGGATGTCTCTGGGTTAAAATTGTCTGTTTTTGCTTTGTTGTGTTTTGTACTGTTATTATTTTTTTTACACTGATGTCTTATTGGGTTCCTCTATATTCCTGCTATAAGTGAAACCATCTGATATTTTTCTTTTTCCTTCTGGCTTATTTCACTGAGCATAATTCCTTCTAGTTCCATCCATGTTGCTGTGAATGGCATGAGTTTATCTTTTTTGATTGCTGAATAATATTCCATTGTGTATATGTACCACATCTTCTTGATCCAGTCATCGATTTTTGAGCGTTTGGGTTGTTTCCAGGTTTTACCTATTGTAAATAGTGCTGCAATAAACATAGGTGTACATGTGCTCTTTTGAATCACTGTTTTTGTGTTCTTTGGCTAGATCCCTAGGAGTGGAATTGCCTGATCATATGGTAGCTCCATTTTTAGCAGACTAAGGAATATCCAGACAGCTTTCCACAATGGTTGGACCAGTTTGCACTCACTGAAAAGCTTCTGCACAGCAGAAGAGACATTCACCAAAACAGAGACCCCACTGATTGGGAAAAAATATTTGCACTCCATTCAACTGATAAGGGACAGATCACAATGATATACTAAGAACTCACATGGCTCAACAAAAACAAAATAAATAATCCAGTCAAGAAATGGGTAGGGCCTCCCCAGTGGCGCAGCAGGTCGAGCACTATGCTGTGAAGCTGTCCGCAGCCTTGGCAGTGTGGGTTCAATCCCAGCCGGCCGGCAAGAATCCCACATGATGCCGCAGACCTCTCCTGTCATGCCCGCTGCTCCCCTCAGCAGTGTATTTCTGTCGTCTGCCTGTTCTGCTCCCTACTCTGTCTCTGGTGAATCCTCTCACCTTCCCGTGCCTCTGGCCTGTACCCAGCTCTTGTATAAAAATAAATAAACCTTAAAAAAAAAAAAGAAATGGGCAGAAGAACTCAAAAGACATTTCTCCAAAGAGGAAATGCAAATGGCCAACAGGCATATGAAAAAATGTTCAACATCCCTTATAATCAGGGAAATGCAAATCAAAACCACACTGAGATACCACCTTACACCAGTAAGAATGCCTCATAGCAAAAAAAAACAAGCAACAACAAATGTTGGTGAGGATGCAGTGAAAAAGGAACTATCATTTTGTTGTTTGAGCCATTTTTACAGCTATTTGGGAGTGTCGCATTGTGCTTTTAATTAATGAGGTAGAACATCTTTTCATGTAGTTATTTGCCACCATGTCTCTTTATTACAGTATATCTATTGAAATCCTTTGCCTACATTAATGGCTTGTCTGTTTTCTTACTATTAAGAATTCTGTATATATCCTGGCTACCCATCCTTTATCCGATGGATTTTTTGTTTAAATATATTTTACATCATTGTTCATTTTTAAGCAATGTGTCCAATAAAAAAAAATTTTTAAAAGAAAATTTTACAATATGTAAAAATAAAATATATCTCATTTGAAGCCCTCTCAAAAAATAAAAAATAAGTTTAGGTTTTTGATCCTTTTCTAGTAAACTGCAAGATATACTATGAGGCATGGATTGATTTTTACATATAGATGTCATTTTTCACAAATGGCTATCCAAATACTCCAGCATCATTCATGGAAAACGTTATCTTTTCTATGTATTGCCTTGATACTTTTCCAAACTATTTCTGTGCACTCTATTCTGTTCTGTTGATCTATGCCTCTGTTCTTTATCTAATACCATGCTGCCTTGATTACTATAACTTTATAGGATGTTTTAAAATAAGGTAGAGTTTATACTCTAACTTTATTGTTTTTCAAAATTGTTTTGGCAATTCTAGGTCCTTTGCTTTTCCATCTAATTTTTAGACTCAGCTTGTCAATTATATTTAATCTATGTATTAATTTGAGGGAAATTGATATCTTGACAACACTGAGTCTTTTGATTCATAGACATATATTTAATTAGGTCTTTTATTATTTCTGTCATCAATACATTTAAGTTGTCAGCATACATATTTTGCAAATATTTTGTTTTTTATCATTAAGTATTTCATGTTTAAGGTGTTATTTTAAATGATATTTAATTAAAATAAATGTGTTTCCAGTGTCCTTTACTAGTATTTAGAAATAAAATTGATCTTTTTGTATTATGCCTGTACTCTAAAGCTTTATTAAATCTAGTAGATATTTGGTAAATTCAATTAAAATAAATGTGTTTCCAGTGTCCTTTACTAGTATTTAGAAATAAAATTGATCTTTTTGTATTATGCCTGTACTCTAAAGCTTTATTAAATCTAGTAGATATTTGGTAAATTCTTTGGGATCTTCTAGGTAGAAAAATCATGCCATCTTAGAATACAATTTTCATTTGTCCTTTCTAAAATGTATATCTTTCATTTGTTATTCTTGCATTATCATACATGAGAGGACCCCAGTCCATTGGAAATCCTTCCCTGTTTCTGGTCTTAATGGGAAGATTTAAGTGTCAATTGAATATATAAGCTGTAACTGTAACTATAACTATATATATATATATATATATATATATACACATATACACTTTTTTTGATAGAAGTACGCTATATGGTTGAGAGCATTCTCTTCCTCGTTTTCTGAGATTTTTGATCAATGGATTTTGAATTTTTTCAAATTGCTTGCATCTATTGAGATGATTATATGGTTCTTTTTTTAGACGGTCCAGATAGTGAATTACATTATATTCAAATGTTGACTTAATCTTGTATTCTTGGAATAAACCTCACTTGATGTTTTATTAGCTTCTTATATTTTGTTAGGTACAATTTGTACATATTTGTTAAGACTTTTGCATCTGTATTCATGAAGTTGTTGGATGACAAATGCCAGTCTTACAAATGAATCAAGAAATATTCCCTCTTCTTCAATTTTCTGAAAGACTTTTGAATAAAATTGGCATTATTTTTATTTAAATGTTTGGTAGAATTCACCAATGAAGGCATATGGATCCAGAGGGTTATATATTTGGAGGGGGAGGGAGGTTTTTAACTATGAATTCAATTTAATAGCTATAGGACTATTTAAATTTATTTATTTTCTCTAGCAATGTTTTCCCCAGTTTATAATTTTCTTTTTTTCAGCTGTCAGTTTGTATTTTTCAAAGTTTTTTTTTTTGCATATTCATTTTTAAGTAGAATTGAATAAGGAAATTGAATTCTCCCATCTCACTGGAATAATTTCTTTGAAAAATCCAAACTTTTTAAATCACCCTGCCCCCCCCCCACACACAAACACACAGGGTTAGTCCATGTGTCAAATAAAGCAAAAACTAAAAGTAGCTGCATCATAAACTATCAATACTTTTTTTAATGCTGAAACATACAACTGTGCCCTTAAATAAATATGATTAGAACTTCTATATCCTAGGCAGAATGAATGAATAAACTAATAATTCATTAAATTAATAACAATTAACTAAGACTCTGCTTGTCCACTTTGTACAAGGCACTTTGCAGCATACGAAGCAAAGGAACCACCTTCACGGATTGTGATCTATTCTGTTATCAACTGGAAACTATCTACAAAATCAGGTACTATCAATCACAATTGATTGTTTATAATGAAATGCTGAAGAATCAGAAATGAGCATATAGGAAATTTTATCTCAAAAGGTGAATTGGATTTTGAAGTGGGCTCAGAAAGTGGATATATCACCAAGAAGAAACAGGAATGTCACTTCTGGTAGAGAGATGCATATGGAATTATTGCTCTGAGGTCTTAGCAAAAGATGAAACTGGAGTGAGACTAGTGCAGAGAGACTACTGGACAACAGTCTATGGAAAGGAATTAACTTTATGTGACTTAGTTTCTAGACCATTCTTTGAGATTATTTTTCTTCCCAGCTCACCAATGAGATTAACACTGAACATTTTGATAACTTCTTGTCAGTCACCCATGTCAGTGGCAAGCTGGTATTTGAACATAGAGGCCAGACTCCTCCCACTGTTTTGCAGAGCCTGCCAGTTAAAGGAATCCAGCAGTCTCAACCACAGATTCTCTGCTGCAGTGTTGCAATCTGCTGTCAAGTGAAATGCAAATAGTTAGTTGTAAGCAATATGATTCACCCCCTCATGCAACAGATAGGTGTTGACTGCCCTGCTTTGCTCAGGGCACTGTGTTAAAGAGCCACAGATACAGCAATGAACAAAATCAGCACTCTTCTTGCCAAATAAAGCTTATTTCCTAATGATGAAAAACAGTGACTAAATGCTTGATAAGTGTATAAAATAAAATACACAGTGGCATCATTGGTAGCACAAGGGGTTAAGTCTCAGCACTGTCAAGCTATCAGCAGCCACTGCAACATGAGTAGGATCCCAGCCAGGGAGCTGACCCACAGCAGACCTCTCCTTTAGGTCCTACACCCCTCAGGGAGCCCACTGCTCCCCTCAGCAGTATATTTCAGTAGATCTGCCTGTTTTCCACCACTGTTCTGTTCCTCTGTCTCTGGTGAATCCTCTCACCCCCTGCACCTTTGGCCTACACCCCAGTTCTTGTATGCATAAATAAATAAAAAATCCTAAAAAGATAAATAAATAAATGAATGAAATACACAATCCTGTGGAAATATTAAAAAGGGGGGAAACTGACCCAGTCTGGAGGGCTCTGACTGTCAAGAAGTGACAGTTAAGCTGAAATTTGCACTTTGTAAAGTAGAATGTGTGTGTGGCAAGGGAGGGGTGTGGAAGTTTACAGCAGAGGAAATAACAATAAAATGTCAGACTTTATTTCATGGGAAGTAGTAAATCATAGGGTTTTAGTATGAAAATCCCTCAGATATGTATTTTTAGAAGTTCATTTCCACTGCTGTAGGGAATAGATTACAGAGAAAAAGAGCTACCTTGGATTGGACATGGAAATTGAGGGAAACAGACAAAACAAGGACAACCCCAGATTTCTGACACTGGTCACCAATGTTGCTGGTAGTGCCAATACCTCAATTAGGAGCAATGCAGAAAAAGCAGGTGTGGCATTAGGGGAAACGCTGGGCAAACTCCCTTCCAGAAAGTTCAATGGGATGTGTGCAGTGCAGTGGTTGAGTGTGGCCTATGAAGCCAGTCTGTCTAGGTTCAAATCCTAGTTTTACCTTTTAACAGCTGTAGGACCAGGCCACATCATTCATCTTCTCAGTATCTCAGTTTCTCTATCTATAAAATATGGATAGCAATAGTATTAAAATTATTACTAAACACCCTTATACATGGAAATCTCTGTCTTAGTGTAATATGAGGACTTGGTGAGCACTGGTGGATCCGAACTATTATTATGTGTCTGTGAGATGTTCAATGGACAGCTAATATATTGCTTCGAATCTCAGAGAAAGGATAGAGTCATTGTAGGATCAAGCTTCCTAGATGGCTTATTTTTGAGTGAGGGTTATGTGACTAAGTTGGAAGCATTGATGGGCAGTGCAAGTTTTCTTGTCCTTGGCCTAGAGGCTGGTGATGAAGACAACTACTGCATGCTAGTCCCCTGAATAGTTACAACCAGCAGCCCCCATGCCAACCTCACGCAAACATACAGTATAAATGAGAAATAAAGCTTCATAATTTTAAGATAATTAAAATTTGAGAACTGTTTGTTATTACAACACACATAGTCTGTGCTGACTGACAATGAACTATTTAATTGAGCAAACAGTTTTTTGCATCTGGAGGAACCCACCCAGACTGCGTTGAGCTGGGAAAGGGCTGCCCCCACAGTCAGAGGTGAGCTGAAAAGCCCCCACAAGCCAGGCCCTGTCTGGCCACCAGTTGGAGCCCAGAGGGGAATCCAGCGATTTGGAGCCCAGGGGGAGATCCTGCCACTGCAAGGCAGTCTGTGGGACCACAAGACCCACCTTGGAATTAAACAAATACAGAAGGAGGAGAGTCTCTGTGACAGTGACCACTAACATATTCATAGTACCACTGCCCTACTGAAATTCTGGCATAACAGTTTTTGACTCAATTGGACCACCATATTCCGACATACCAGAAAGAGCACACCAAAAAGATGCCAGCCAGTACCAGTGACTCAGTGTCCCAATGCATAGGACAAATTAAAAAACAAGCAGCAGGGAGAAGAAAAACTACAAGCAACCAAGCAAGTCCTCAGGGAAAAGACACAAAAAGAAAATCACCCACCAGATTACAAAAATAGTGAATTGGAAGAACTTCTGAGCCTTCCAGAAAGAGAATTTAAAATTGCCATGATTTAAAAACTGAAAGAAGTCGAAAATGATATGGGAAAAATAATCAACAATCAGAAAAATGAAATTGAGCCCCTAAAGAGGGAAGTGAAAGAAATGCAGGAGATCAAAGGATTAATGGAAGAACTAAAGAACTCTGGGAAAAGCAGTGAAAGTGGAATAGATGAAATGGAAGAACGAATAAGTACTCTCTAAGACACAGAAATAAAAAGAACCAAAACAGAAAAGGAAAGAGAAGTACAAATGAGGAAAGGAAATATAAGAGTTATAGGAATCTCAGAAGGAAAGGAGAGAGACATAGGAACAGAGACAATATTCAAGGAAATAATTGAAGAAAACTTCCCAAACATGACGAAGAAGCTGAAAATAGATATACAAGAAGCAAGAAGAACACCAAACATCCATGATGAAAGGAAAAATACAGCAAGACACATAACAGTAAAGTTGCCAAGAATCTAAGACAAGGAAAAAATAATGAAGCTGACAAGAGGGAAGAAACAGATAACATACAAAGGAAAACCAATCAGGCTGACATCAGATTTCTCTGAAGAAACACTATTGGCAAGGAGAGAGTGGAAGGACATAGTCAACAGACTCCAAGACAACAAATGCTAACCAAGAATCTTCTATGCTGCAAAGCTCTCCTTCCTCTATGAAGAAAGATAAGGATCTTCCCAGATAAACAGAAACTCTGGAATTTCATTATGACTAAATCCCCACTCCAAAAAATGCTACAAAGCCAGAGCCAACAGAGGGATGAATAAGAATGAAACAAGACCCCCCAAAAATATTAAAAAGATAAATAAATAAAAATCAGAGAAAAGACAAACAAAATGGCAAATACAGACAATAACATATCAATATTAACTCTAAAATTAAAAGGACTAAACTCTTCAATAAAAAGACACAGAGTCGCAGGCTGGATTGAGAAACAAACCCAACCTTTTGCTGTCTCCCAGAAATTTGCTTAACTATAAAAGATAAAAATAGACTGAAAGTAAAAGGATGGAAAATAATCCAACAAGCAAATGAACCAAAAAGAAGGCAGGAACAGCTATACTTATATAAGATAAAACAGATTTCAAACTCAAAAAGGTAAAAAGAGACCCCAATGGTCACTACATTATGATCAAGGGGAAAATACTTCAAGAAGAAATAATACTCATTAACATATACTCACCAAATGAAGGAGCACCAAAATATATCAAACAACTATTCTCTGAAACAGACATCAGAGAAAACACATATGTAGTAGTAGACTTCAACACACCACTAGCAACAATAGATAGATCAACAAGACAAAAAATAATAAGGGCACTAAAGCTCTAACTGAGGATCTAGAGCTCATGAGCTTAAAAGACATCTATAGAACACTAAACCCAAAAAAATCTGAGTACACATTTTCCTCAAGTACACACGGATCATTCTCCAGGATTGATCACATACTGGGACACAAGACAAACATCAACAGATACGCCAAGATTGAAATCATACCAACCATCTTCTCTGACCATGAAGGCATCAAGCTAGAAATAAACCATAAAAAGAAGGCAAGGAACTTTCCTACCTCATGGAGATTGAAACCCATTCTACTGGAGCACCACTGGACTAATGAGGAGATCAAAGAAGAAATTAAAAAATACTTTGAGTTGAATGACAAGGAGGACACCAATTTCCTAAGTATATGGAACGCAGCAAAAGCAGTAATTAGAGGGAAATATATAGCAATACAGGCTCACATCAAGAAACAAGAAAGAACTCAAAGAAACAACCTAATCACACAGCTCAAATAACTAGAAAAAGAAAACCAAAAAAACCCTAAAACCAATAGAAGAAAAGAAATAATAAAAATCAAAGAAGAAATAAATGAAACTGAAACTAAAAAAACAATCTAAAAGATCAATGAAACCAAAAGTTGGTTCTTCAAAAAAATAAATAAAATAGACAAACCCCCAACCAGGTTCACAAAGGAAAAATGGGAGAAAGCACAAATAAGTAGGATCACAAATTAAAGAAGAGAAATCACAACAGACACAGCAGAAATCAAAAGAATAATCAGAAATTACTATGAACAATTATATGCAAACAAGTTCAACAATCTAGAAGAGATGGACAAATTCCTACAATTCCACAATCACCCAAAACTAGATAAAGAAGAAATAGAACACCTAAACAGACCAATTACAAGCAGTGAAATTGAAATGGTAATCAAAAACCTCCCCAAAAACAAAAGCCCAGGACCAGATGGATTTACAAATGAATTCTACCAAACATTCAGAAATGAATTAGTGCCTATCTCTTCACAAATTCTTTCAAAAAATTGGGAAGGAAGGGATAATATCAAACACATTCTATGAAGCCAACATTACACTAATAGCAAACTGAACAAAGACAACACAAAAAAAGAAAACTGCAGGCCAATCTCTACTGAACATGGATGCAAAAATCCTCAATAAAATTTTAGCTATCAGAATCCAACAATGTATCCATAAGATAATTCACCATGACCAAGTAGGATTTATTCCAGGGACACAAGGATGGTTCAACATCCAAAAATCACTCAATATAATCCAACACATAAACAAAAAGAAATATAAAAACCATATGATAATATCAATAGATGCTCAGAAAGCCTTCAACAAAGTACAACAGCCATTTATGATAAAGGCCCTTGAAATTCTCGGGATACAAGGAACATACTTCAACATCATAAAGGCCATATATGACAAGCCCATAATCAATATCATTCTCAGTGGTGAAAAGCTGAAAGCATTTCCATTAAGATCTGGAACAAGAAAAGGATGTCCATTCTCACCACTGCTTTTCAATATAGTATTGGAAGTCTTAGCCAGAGAAATAAGACAAGAGAAAGACATACAAGGAATCCAAATAGGCAAGGAAGAAGCCAAACTATCACTATTCACAGATGATATGATATGATATGATAATATACATAGAGAACCCCAAAAACTCCACAGAAAAACTAATGAAACTAATCAGTTTAGTAAAGTGGCAGGATACAAAATCAACACACAAAAATCAGTAGCCTTCCTATACACAAACAATAAATCTGAAGAAGAAATCAAAAAAACCATCCCTTTTATTATTGAAACAAAAAAAATCAAATACTTGGGAATAAACCTAACAAAAGAGGTAAAGGATCTATACAAAGGAAACTATAAAACACTGTTAAAAGAAATTAGGCCTCCCCAGTGGTGCAGGGGTTGAGCACTGGATTGCAAGACTGCCTGCAGCCTCTGCAGTGCCAGTTAGATCCTCGGCCACCAGCGAGGGTCCCACATGGCACACAGACCTCTCCTGCCGCCCGCTGCTCCCCTCAGCAGTGTACTTCGTTGGTCTTCCTGTTCTGTTTTCCGCTCTGGTGAATTCTCTCACCCTCCCATGCTTCTGACTGTACCCAGTGCTTGTATAAATAAATAAATAAATAAATAAATAAATAAATCTTAAAAAAAGAAAAGAAAAGAAAAGAAATAGAAGAAGACACAAAAGAGATGGAAAGACATCCCCTGCTCATGGATTGGAAGAATTAACATTATTAAAATGGCCATCCTACCAAAAGCAATTTACAGATTCAATGCTATTCCAATAAAAATTTCAATGACATTCTTCAAAGAAATAGAACAAATATTGATGAAATTCATATGGAGCCACCAAAAACCCCAAATAGCCAAAGCTCTCCTGAAAAAAAAAAGAAGGAAATGGAGGCATCACACTCCTGATTTCAAACTATACTACAAAGCCATAGTAATCAAAACTGCATGGTATTGGAATAAGAACAGACACACAGACCAATGGAACCAAATAGAAAACCCAGAAATAAATCACAGATTTATGGTGAACTAATCTTTGACAAAGGAGCAAAGAATATGCAATGGAGCAAAGAAAGTTTGTTCAATAAATGGTGCTGGGAAAACTGGGTCGCTACATTCAAAAGAA